AATCCCAAAAAAGGAATCCCAACAGAGAGAATAAAAGATATGGAATCGTGAGCAAGGAAATTCGGAAAAAAGAATTTCTTAGAACGGGAACTACAAAAAAGGGAATTCCGAGACAATAAGAAGAAAGGGAATCCTGAAAGAGAGGATCTCGAAAAAGACGTTCTTCAGAAAGGAAATTTCCAGGACAAGAACCCGGACAAACGAGAACCCTGAGAAAAGACGAATCTCGGGAAAGGAAACTCGATTAAGATAGACCTGAGAAGAAAACGCCAAGAAGAAGAATCCCAAAAAATTTAATCCAAAACATGAAAACCTCCAGAAAGAGAATTTGAAAAAGTCTATCCCAAAGGGATAATCTGACAAGAATCCGAAAGAGAGAATCCTACGAATAAAAATCGCGTGATCCTGAAAAAAGAAACCAAAAAAAGAATCCGGTAGAGGTATTCAAGACGGGACATCCGAGAAGGGCAACTAAGAAAGGGAATCCGAGAACGAGTAACTTGAGACGACAAATTGAGAAGGAGAGAACCCAAGAAAAATTCCGAGGAAAACCCCGAAAAAGGAAATATCGAGAAAAAGAATCACGAGAAAAACTCCCGAGAAAGGAAATCACGAGAAAAGGGATCCCGGAAAAGACAATCCCGACGACAAGAATTCCGATAAAGGAGATTCCTAGAACAGGAATCCCGATAAAGGGAATCCTGAGACAGATAATAAGCAGAAAGAGAATCGTGAAAGAAAGTTCTCAGAACAGAAATTCCTAGAACAGGAATGCCAAGAGAGGGATTAAGAAGAAAGGGAATCTGCGCAAGAGATATTCCGAGAAAGGAAAAAGGCAGAAAGGAAATTGTAAGAAATGGAATTCCGAGAAAGAAAATTCCTATAACAGGATGCCGGGAAAGGGAATAATAAGAACGGGAAGCCTGAGAGGCGGTATATTGAGAACAAAATTCCCCAGAAAGGAAATTCCTAGAGCAGGAACTCCGAAAGGGGAAATCCCGAGAATCAATTACGAGAAAGGAAATCTCGATAAAGATAATGCTAAGAAAGGAAATCCAGAGAGTGAATTACAAAATTAAAAATTGAGAAAGGAAAGCCCAAGAAGAAGACGGCGAAAAGGAAAATCCCGAAAAAGGGAATTATTAAGAAAGTTTATTCCAAGAAGGCGAGTTCGAGGAGGATCCCAAGACGAAAAATCCCGAGAAGGGAAACAGTGAAAAAATGAATCTGGAAGAGGCATCTAAGATAACGAATCCGAAGAGGACAATCAAGAGAATCCGAGAACTAGAAACTTTGGAACGACAAATCGAGGAGTAGAACCCAAAGAGAATTTCGAGGAGAGCGTGAGGAGAACCCCAAAAAGAGAATCTCTAGAAAGGAAATCTCGAGAAAGGGAATTTCGATAAAGGTAATTTCAAAATGGGAAAGGGAATCTCGATTAAGAGAAGCCCGAGAAGAAGAATCATGAAAAAAAAATTTTAGAAATAAAAAATTTCGAGGAAGAGAATTCTGAGAAAGATTATCTCAAGAAGGAGGATCCGAAGAGCAGGATCCCAAGAGGAAAGATCAGGAGAACGGAAATAGCGAAAACATGGATACAAGGAAGGGAAGCTAGAACAGGCATCTAAGACGGGACATTCGAGAAGGACAATCTAAGAAAGAGAATTCAAGGACGAGAAGCGATGATAATCTCGAGCAGGGAAGTGTGAGGAAAACCCAAAAAGGGAATCCAGAAAAAGAGAATCACGACAGAAAAAGAATCACGAGAAAGGGTATGCTGAGAAAAAAGAATAGAAATCTCGAAGGGCAATCCCTGAAGAAATAGTACCACGAAAGATATCCCAGAGAGAATTCCGAGAGAATCCCGAGGAGGGTAATCCCGCTAAAGTGAAGCCCGAGAAAGAGAATCATGAAAAAGACAATCCTAGAAAGAGAACCTCGAGAAAGTCTACCTCAAAAGGAAAATCTGAGGAGAATCCCAAGAAGAAAAATCGCGAGAAGAGAAATCGCGAAAAAAGGAATTCAAGAAAGAGAGAGGCATCGAATACTGGGAATCCGAGAAGGGATCACGAGAAAGGGAATTCCAGAAAATGCAACCCCGAAAAAGGAATCCACAGAGAAGCTCGAGAAAGAGAAGTCTGAGGAAGAAAACTCGAGAAAAAGAAACTTGAGAAAGAGAATTCTAGAAACAGAAGCCCGAGAAAGTCTATTCCAAGAAGAAGAATCCGAGTAGAAAAATCTGAGAAGGAGAATTCCAAGAATAACAATTGTAAGAAAGGAAACGTCAAAAAAGGAATCGGCTTCAAGAAGGGGAATTCGAGAAGCACAAGAAATCCGACAGCGAGAAACCGAGAAGGAGAATCCAGAGAAAGCGATGAGCATCCGAGTATAAGAAAAGAAAAATTTAAGATACAGAATGCGAGAAAGATAATTCCGAGAAGGAGAATCTCGAGAAGGAGAATCCCGAAAGAAATAATCCCAAGAAAGATATCCCAGAAAGAATCCTGAGAGAATCACGAGGAGGGGAATCTTGATAAAGTGAAGCCCCAGAAAGAGAATCCCGAAAAAGATAATCTCGAGAAAGAGCACCTTGAGAAAGTCTACCTCAGAAGGAAAATCTGAGGAAAATCCCAAAAAGAAGAATCGCGAGAAGGGAAATCGCGAAAAAAGGAATTCAAGAAAGGGCACGGGGAGAGGCATCGAGGACGGAAAATCCGAGAATCTGAGAAAAGGATCCATGAACGAGAAGCCTAGGACGAGAAATCGAGAAGGGGAACTTGAAAAGAATCCCGAGAGACAACCACGAAAAAGGGATCACTAGAAAGGGAATTCCTGAAATGACAATCTCGAAAAAGGAATCCAGAGAAAAGCTCGAGAAAGAGAAATCTGAGGAAGAAAACTCGAGAAAAATAAACTTGAGAAAGAGAACTCAAGAAAGAAGAACCCGAGGAGATGACGTCGAAGAAAGGCAATCTTCAGAAAGGAAATTCTGAGAACGTTTATTCCAAGAATAAATTCCGAGTAGAAAAATTCGGGAAAGAAGAAGAAGAAGAAGAAGAACAATAACGAGAAAAGAAATCGTCAAAAAAGGAATCGGAAACAGGCATTCAAGAAGGGGAATCCGAGAAGGACAATCCATAACAAGAAATCCAAGAGTGACAAACCGAGAAGGAGAATCCAGAGAAGAGAAGTCCAAGCAGAATCCCGAGAATGGGAATCCAACAAGGGAAATTCGATGAGAAGAATCCGAAGAGCATTCGGGAAGGAGAATCTTGAGAAGGAGAATTTCGAGGAAGCGAGAAAGGAGTGTCGAAAAAGAGTAATCGGAAAGATAGACCTGCGAAGGAGAGAGAACCCGACAAGGAGAATTAGAGAATGGAACTTCGAGAAAGAGAATCGGAGAAGGAAAATCCGAGAAGGGAAATTGGGAGACAATCCTATATGTCCCATTATGAGAAATCCAAAATGAATCTTGGGGAAGGGAATCCGAGAAGGAAAATCCCGAGATAGAGAATTTGGAGAAAAATATGGGAAAACTTCGGAAAAGCCAATCGAACAGAACGAATAATCGACAAGGAAAATCCCAGTAGGAAAATCGGAGAAGGAGCAGCCGAGAAAAAGAACCAACCGAACTTCTATTGTTTCTTTTTCGAATCTATCTAAATTCTTAAATCAATGAGTAGGTGAGATTATTACACAAGAATTAAATAAAAGCGTCAGCAGTAGTGATTTTACAGAAATCTTGACAAGTTATCCCCTTTTGGCAAAAAATGAGTAAAATGGTCAACCTAAAAATTTCAAAACAATTGGAATTATTTGTCGTCACATTAAAAGAAAAAAAAAACCTTTATTTTCGCAACCACGAACAAGAAAATAAATCGAAAAGGAAGATTTCTACAAATTACAATCTTCCGAATTGTCCAAATTTGTTAGTAGTTATACCTCAGAATATAAAAAAATTTCAGTTAAAAAAAATGGAAGCGCGGTTCCTCTTTAAAGACTAATGGATGTTTATCAATGAGAATGCTTCATTGTTAAAAATTTGTTTAAGATAACATATTGACATATAATTTTCGCGGAAAGATGCAACTAACGTATGAAGTCAACACGCAATGATAATAATTGCAATAATCTTTTGTGTACACTGAGAGCTAAATATAGGTACATTGTGTAACTCCCTCTGGATGGTATTTCCAAGTTTTTATACATGTTTTAGATAAAGATAACCAGTTATCACAAAAACTGAACAGCCTCCTTCCAGGTTGATTAAGAGTTCTAAATGATTAGATATTGGTTAGGTCTATTTTTAAAAGCTACAAGTTAAATATGTACATCATTTTGAATTTTAACCATCAAGAATAGACCGAATCGGTGCAAGAATTATCCTCATTTAAGGTTTGTCTAATTACGCTTTATTTAACTTGCTGTTTGGTCGTAAATAATCTTAAAATAACTCATGTTAATTAAATACACCTTACAAACAAATAAAATTAATGCGCAATTTGTTAACTTTTTGTGGCACCAAGTTCATTATTGTTAAATAAATTTTTCCTGTTAATATTTGAACCTCCACTTCCAGTTTCCTTCATCTTACCATACATTTCGAATTTCCACATCATGAAAACCTCCATCCAGCTCATGATGTCGCAACGAACACACGACCATCAAGTCTTTCCCATTTACAGACAAAATACGTAGTTGCTCCCATTCAACTAATTTGTAGAAATTTTTTCCGGTAATTGGCTACGTTTACCTCGTTTTCTGCATGTTTACGACGCACACGCACACGTAACAACGACAAAACGTAAACAATGCACCTGCTCACGCTAACCCAATTAAATCTGATATCATTTCGTGTAAAAGTGAGATCCTAGCTTGCGCAACGTCTCGCTCATTGTAAACTACCAGATTAGATCAAAAAATCGCGAACATAATAACCATTGTTGCGCCGATTCTTCCCAGAAACCCGACTCTTCAAAAACAATGCGGAAAAGACTCACTTCCTCGGCCTCCTCCTTGAGGGTGTTGAACCTGGCGAGCTCCTTCAGCCGCTCCATCCTCTCCTGGCGCAGCTGTTCCAGCTTCCTGGTGACCCTGTCCACGGAGTTGAACGACGCCTCCGAGAAGCTGACGTTCCGTTTGACGTCCCTGCTGCCGCCGAGCCATTGGGAGCGTTCCTTCAGGCTGGATAGCGTCTTGGGGCCGTCGCGACGCAGCTTCTGGACGTGGTCCAAGTCCAGGGCCTTGGTGATTTGTCTGGAAAAGTTATAGGTTAGGACGGTGGAAGGAGATAAGTGGATCGTTATCGAACCCACTGCTCTCGTCGGTCATGATGTTCTAGCAACTAAATTAGCGTATACGTTTTGTCTAAATTAGTCGAGATGAGATAAGATTAGATAGTTTACCTGCACTGGTGATTCAGAAATCTGCGGGTTATCTGATGAGGGATGTCTTCGTTACGCAGTTGCGATAAAGCGGAGAGGAGGCTGCGTCCTGCTGTTTTGCAGGAGGCTAGGAAGGGTTCGAACTGCTTGAAGAACTCCACCCACTCGAGTTGGTCGTGGCTGCAGGAACCGCCGCAGCTGGCTGGGGTTTCTTCTTTTGATAGGTATTGCAGGAGGGTCGACTCGTCGGTGACGACGGTGACCTGGAAATGATTAACACCGGACCATATTTTTTAATGTTTCATGATTGCACACCTGATTGTCAAAGTGACATTTATGACAGCTGCCATCGTTTCAAACAATCAACATATGTTGGGCCATGGCCGACTAGTCGGCCATGGTTGGGCGAGCTCATGTCAAACTTGGCAACTGTGGACTGACGAACTAGCGCGGATAATTCAATATTAATAATAATTCAGAACTGCCAACACAAAAATTTGCTTCAGTCATGGATCAGTTAATCGGTATTAATTCAAAAGTGCACGAAGACAAAATTCGGTTTACCATCATTATAATTTTTTATTTAGTTCCATCACTAGTAAAGGATTCATTTAGGAATAATACTCATAAAAAGAAATAAGATGGAGTCCTTTAAATTGTGTTAATTTAATCTCTTATGGAAAGCTCAAAACTTGTAACAAAAAACAGAATGGAAAATGTAATTTACAGATATTATTATATTATGACATGATTGTATTCTACAAATACGTAGAATGTTATCGGTAGATACTAATACCTCGCAGGGATTTAGGTTATTTATTAATGAACAAAATTGGGAACACCAAAACAATAAATTTATAAACCTCAAATTACTCAAATTTTTTAAATTTTTTGTCATGCAACTGATTGATGAGTTATTATTATATAAGCCATTTTCTTAAAATCAAAAATCATCTAAGCATACAAACTTTTGTAGCAAATAACATTTATACAACATACAAGTAATGAATAAATTATGATTTTACAAAATTTTGGATAAAATTTCATGACAAAATAGCATCTAAAGCGTTAAATGTAAAAATCGCAGTCATGAAAATCTAATGAAATTCATGTTTGACTAGAAAAGTATATGACATAACCGGAAAATGGAAAAATCGAAAAATTGAAATCCAACAAATGAAACATTAAACTGAAATCCAACAAATGAAACATTCATAACTGAAGATTTGAAAAATTACAAACTGAAACATCGAGAAATCGAAAAATTGTGATACCAAAAAATTGCAAGTTAATTGAAAAATTGAAGAAAAGGGACATTGAAAATCAAGAAACGTTAATTCGAATAATTGACGAAACAAAAATTGAAATACATATCCAAAAATTAAAAATCGAGAAACTGAAAAACTTAAAAGAGCATTAACTGGGAAAATTGTAAAAGTGAAAAATTGTTCCGTGGAATACTTCGAAAACTTCAAAAGTTCAAATCGATTAATTAAAAAAATTCATGACTGAAAAGGGAAGAACTGAGAAATTGAAAAATTAAAAATCAGGAAGCCGCAAAATCAAAAATTGAAAAAATAAAAAATTCGCAGAAACAAAACATTGAAAAATCGAAAAAATTGAAAAATTGAAACATCGAGAAACTAAAGAATCGAAAAAATATAACGTCGAAAAAAAAATGGGTGTACTGAAATTCGAAAAACTGAAAAAACCTAGAATCGGAAGTTCAAAAATTAAAAATTGAAAAAGTGAAAAATTGTACGCAAACTCGAAAAATTATAAAAACGGGAAATTAAAGAAAAAATCCAATAATTAAAGAATTCAAAAATTAAAATTCATACTTATAATTGAACGCCCAAAAAATTGCAAATCGAAAAAATGGCAAAGAGAAAAACTGAAAAATCTGAAAACTCAAATCGGAAAACTTAGAAATCGAAAAATTCAAAGTTCGATTAATTGTGAAACTGAAAAATGTCGTGAAAAATCCAAGAAATTTAGGACCAAAAACTTGTGAATCGAAAAATTGAAAAATCGAAAAATTTAAAATCGAGAAACAGAAAAAGTGAAAAAACAAAAAATTGCAATTTGGAAAACTGAAAAACCGAAACAGAAAAAATTTAAAAATCCAAAAACTGTAAAACCGAAAATTAGAGAAATCGAAAAACCGAAATATCGAAAAATCGAAGAAAGGAGAGATTGAAAGTCGAGAAACGTTAATTTGAAAAATCCACGAAACAAAAACTGAAATATCTAAAAATTAAAAATCGAGAAACTGAAAAACTTTAAGAGCATTGACTGGAAAAATTGTAAAGATGAAAAATTGTATACATGGAATAATTCGAAAACTTCAAAAGTTCAAATCGATTAATTTAAAAAATTCTTGACTGAAAAGTCGAAAAATTGAAGAAAGGAGACATTGAAAATCGGAAAAGGTTCATTCGAAAAATCGACGAAACAAAGACTGAAATATCCAAAAATTAAAAATCGAGAAACTGAAAAACATTAACTGGAAAAGTTGTAAAAACGAAAAATTGTATACGTGGAATAATTGGAAAAATTTCAAAAGTTGAAATCGATTAAATAAAAAAATTCATAACCGAAAACTTGAAAAATTGCAAATAGAAAAATCGCAAATCCGCAAAATCCAAAAAGTTGAAAATCAAGAAATCGTAAATGGAAAAACTGAAAAGGTAAAAACTGAGGAATTGAAAAATTAAAAATTCGGAAGCTAAAAAATCAAATAAAAAAATTGCAGAACCGAAATATTAAGAAAGGAAAAAATTTAAAAATCCAAAAATTGAAAGATCGAATAATTAAACAATCGAAAAAATATAACACCGAAAAAAAATGGGTGTATTGAAATTCGAAAAACTGAAAAAACGTAAAATTGAAAGTCCAAAAATTAAAAATTGAAGAAAAAAATCCAATATTTAAAGAATTCAAAAATTGAAATGGAACAACTGAAATCCACATTTATAACTGACAGCTCGAAAAAGAACGGGAAAACTGAAAAATCAAAATATTGAAAAATCTAAAATTTCAAATCGGAACATTTAGAACTCGATTAATTCTAAAATCGAAAAACTGAAAACTCTCTTGGGAAATCCAAAAAGTGAAAAATCAAAAAATTTTAGGATCAAAAAATCGCAAGTCAAAAAATTGAAGAAACGAAACATTAAAAAATCTAAAAATTAAAAATCGATAAACTGAAAACGAAAAATTGCAAATTGGACAATTTAAAACCAAAATAAAAAATCCAAAAAATTTAAAAAACCGAAAAACTGAAAAATCGAAAAAGTAAAAAATCTAACTGAAGAATCGAAAAATTGGAATGTTCAAAAATTAAAAATTGAAAAAATACAAAATTGGAAAAGAGAAAACTCGAAATATTATAAAAACGATAAATTGAAAAAACTACAAATAAAAAAATCCAATAATTAAAGAATTCATAAACCGAAATTTAAGTAATAAAATACTTGTAACTTAAAGCTCGAGAAGCTAAAAATTCCAAAAATTGAAAAATAAAAAGATTCACAAGAAAAACATTGAAAAATCGAATCATTTCAAATTCGAAAATCGAGAAATTAAAAATTAAAAAATCTACAAAAAAAAAAATCAAATGGACAAACTGTAAATTCCAAAAATGGAGAATTGAAAAGTGAAAATTAAAAAAAAAATAAATCGGTAGTTTAACAAATCGAAAAACTGTGGTTAGAATAATTGGAAAATTGAATTGAAGAGACGAAAAATTCAAAAAATCAAAAATTAAAAATCGAGAAACTGAAAAATGGAGAGAGTGAAATATAGAAAAAATTTAAACACGAAAAACCGAAGAAACAAAACATACCAACTCAAATCGTCACTCTTTTGGCATCTGAGTCAATTTAGGCACACTTATCTTTTTGGGAGATCCACAAAAGGACAAAATTTGACAAAAACGGTGAAAACCCGTTACACCAATAATCACTAAAATTGAAACTCTCTCACATATTATCAGATCATCGAAATCGCTAACGTCATGGATATTTTCTTAGATGACATCTTTATTTATTATCTCTAGGAGTGTGTATTTTTATCAATTGCCTAACTTCCATGTCGTCGTGGTAGTCCAAAAATATTGATAAATATGTATATCATTAGTTTGACGGCAGCAAAAAAAGCCTTAAAGTTGTTTTTAAAACACAGCTCATGTGAAAAACGGTTCGATTCTAGATAATTAGTAAATTCATGAAAATGAAAAATAAAGGAACAGTCGTCTTTGAATTTATACAAAAATATAGAAAAAATACACATTTCGCACTAACGTCAAAGCATAGCAATGTCCCAAACAAGCGCCTTGCGGTACATCTCAAAGCCCGAAGAATGAGGAAATGCACGCTTTGAAGAGTGCATATCTGCAAGAATACAAGATAAATATTTTGATAGTGCATTTCCCACGCATAAAATCGAAAAGGTCGTATATATTATTCGACGTTAACGGGCAATTTGTCGCGATAATTGGAATATTATGTCCGACGCCGTTTACTTTCTGAAGTAGTTGGCGATGATGCACGAGCCAATTAATCTAGACTTAGGTGGGTCGGTATGGACTGTGGTAATGAGTACGGGCAGTAATTAATATGCAGATGCAATTACTGCGTTCTTGCAATAGTTGGCGCGAAAATGGCGACCGGCGAAATGTCAGCGAATACGTCAACGGACGAAGCGAGCCGAAAATGAGTCATTGAAGTAATCTTTTTAAAATTATCTACTGTTTGAAAGCTGTAGCTATAAAATCGTAACCTTGATCGTGAATATCACAATATCGATGCAAACAATAGTCGTGATCAGAAAAAATGAACAATTCTAGGAAACTAGATGAAACAAAACTGATAACTAAAAGAAAGAAAGAAATGAGCAAAAAATACAACGAATACAAACGAGTAAAAAACCCTGATGGGAACATGGAAGAAAATAAGAGAAGATTTAATCTAAGGACAGTAGATAAGATAACACAGAAGTTTACAGGATTAAGCAAACATTTATTGAATACATATCATATTACAAATGCAGCAGGAATTTATAGAATGATTACTTTATAAAAAGAACAATTCAGTGAGGCTACTGATTCTATAGAGTATGAGAATGAAGTCGGCAGATTTTCTACGGAGGTTATAAAAGATCTAACAATATTAAAGCTATCAACTCAGACACCTCACTGAAAAATTAGAAAAATAGAAATTGAACATACAATCATTACTAACGTCATTCAATGTTAAAATCT